CCCTTGGGGGCCCCCAAGGGGCCCCCCGTCAAGGAGACACTCAGGGGGGCCCCCAGGGGGGCCCCCATCAAGGAGACCCCCAGAAGGGCCCCCAGGGGGGCCCCTAGGGGGGCCCCCATTATGAAGATGAATAAAGGGTGAGGACGATGAAGGGTTGTTGAAGTTTCGAGAGACGAAGAGAAGTATTTGAGAAGGGAGCGAAGAAGCTTCAAACGGAAGAAGGGTAGAGGGTTTCAGGTGTATGCACAGCTCTGATAAAGCATTTTGAAGTTGTTGTGCTGGTGTAGACATTATTGCAGTGTTTAAACCCTAAACCCTAAACCCTAAACCCTAATAAACTCTAATAAAAAACCCTTAAGACGCAACCCCCACAAAAAACAAACCCTACACCCTAATAAACCCTAAACCCTAAACCCTAAACCCTAGGAAATAAAAGAGAAGAAGAAAAGAAAAGATATAAGGGGTTTTGGTTGATTTTAGATTAAAGGAGGCGCTGCTCCTTTGTGTAAACCCCCAAACCCTAAACCCTAAACCCTAAACCCTAAACCCTAGTAGTACACCCTTGTAAACCATAGTAAACCCCGGTAAACCCTAAACCCTAAACCCTAAACCCTAGTCTTCCTCGACAGGGTTGCTAAAGGGTAAGAAATAAATCTTCATTTTTATATTTCTATCAATAAATTTAATTTATTTTTCGTTTTTTAGGGTGTATGCTCACCTCTAATTGTAGCAGCAGAAACCGCTGCATGCAGCAGCGCGGAGGGCTGCAGCAGCAGCAGCAGCTGCTGCTGCTGCTGCTGCTGCAGAGTAAATAAGCAGCAAATTTGTTGTCTTTTCGTGCACTTTCTTCTCCTTTCAATAAAAAAATAAAAAATATTTGCGTTTTAAACCAAATATAACCTCAGGGCCCCACACCCTCCCTCCTCTCCGCAGCTACTGCTGCTGCTGCTGCTGCTGCTGCTGCTGCTGCTGCTGCTGCGTTTTTGTTCTTGATTTATTTAATGTAATAGTAAACATAAAGAAAAGATCATCTCTTATTTCGCAGCTTAAGAAGAATTTCCTTGACGAGAACTGGCGGAGGGCCCCCGGCAGCAGCTGCAGCAGCAGCAGCAGCAGCAGCAGCAAAACGCAGTAAAGAGCAGCTAAACAGCAGCATTAAGTAAAGGGAGAACTCCAGCAGCAGCAACGGCAGCAGCAGCAACAGCAGCTGCAGCAGCAACATCAGCAGCAACCCTTCATTGTTATTCGCCGCGTGTATTTCATCTCTTTGGGGGCTGACCTCAAGGTTCCTAGGGTTTAGGGTTTAGGGTTTAGGGTTTAGGCACGATGCGGCTGACAATAGAATTGATTCTCCAGGCCCCTCAATACAAATCTCCAGCCGAGAACTGGACACTCAACCTCAGAGGTAATTAGGGTTTAGGGTTTAGGGTTAGGGTTTAGGGTTTAGGGTTTAGGGTTTAGGGTTTGGGGGATTAAAGCGAATTGAAGCCGCTGGGTAGGAGGCAAAGGAAGGGGGGGCTACAGTATAGAATGTAGTCTTTGTGGTTTATGCAAGGTTTATTGTTTGTGTTTAGGGTTTAGGGTTTAGGGTTTAGGGTTTAGGGTTTGTGTTTAGGGTTTGAAGGTTTATTTCTGTTTGTCTTTCCCGAATTGAGAGCGAGCACTTCACTCAGTGTTTATGCTCTACAGCCTTCGGGCTCTAGGGTTTGGGGTTAAGGGTTAAGGGTTTAGGGTTTAGGGTTTAGGGTTTAGGGTTTAGGGTTTATGTTCAGGGCACCAGTTGGAGGTCATAGAGAATCTGGGGGCTACGGGCGATTATTTCGAGTGTATAGATCTCAGCGACAATCAAATAATTAAATTAGATGGGTTTCCTCCTCTCAGCCGCCTTAACTCTCTTGTAAACCCTAAACCCTTAACCCTAAACCCTAAACCCTTAACTCTAAACCCTAAGGCAAGCGCAAATCACACGCCCCAACAGACTCTCCTCAGGCCTAAGGCAAGAACAGGGATGCATTCAAAGGTTCAGGGTTTAAGGTCTAGGGTTTTAGGGTTTAGGGTTTAGGGTTTAGGGTTTAGGGTTTAGGGTTTAGGGTTTATGTGTTTGCAGATTTTATGCAACAATCGAGTTGCGCGCATTTCGCCGGATTTGATTTCATTTCTGCCGAACCTCGAGTCGCTCGTTCTAACCAACAACAGAGTAAGGGTTTAGGGTTTAGGGTTTAGGGTTTAGGGTTTGGGGGTTAAGGTTTAGGGTTTAGGGTTTGGGGGTGAGGGTTTAAAGTCTGGGGTTTAGGGTTTAGGGTTTTCGGTCTAGGGTTTGAAACGAAAGGTGACTGACTGTTCTCTGGGTGTTTTGTATATAGCTGTTTAGGGTTTAGGGTTTAGGGTTTAGGGTTTAGGGTCTAGGGTCTAGGGTTTAGGGTTTAGGGTTTAGGGTTTAGGGTTTGTGTGTTTTGTTTGTTAGATAGAACGTCTCTGTGATTTAACTCCGTTGTTTGCGGGTGAGGAGACAGCAGAAATTTTTGTTTTATATCTGCTCTCTGTTTGTTTCTTTTATTTATTTATTTATTTATTTATTTATTTATTTATTTATTTATTTATTTATTTATTTATTATTTATTTATTTAT